ACTGGCTCTGTTAGAAGTAACAAGAGCAGTTAGAAGAGTATTCATTCCTGGCATTAAAATAACAAGGCGGGACGCCTGGGTGGCTCAGTTGGTTAAGCAGCTGCCTTCGGCTCAGATCATGATCCCAGCGTCCTGGGATCGAGTCCCGCATCGGGCTCCTTGCTCAGCAGGGAGCCTGCTTCTCCCTTTGCCTCTGCCTGCCATTCTGTCTGCCTGCACTCTCTCTCTGACAAAAAAAAAAAAAAAAAAAAAAAAAAATTTTTTAAAAAAAAAAAATAACAAGGCAAGAAGGATATTTAAATATTTGGAAACCTTTTAAGTACTTGCCAGGGTTTCACAGCAACTTCTACATTGGTCACTCCAGCTCTAGTCTTCATTCCAGTCCCTCTCAGATTCCCAAGGCACAACTCCCACCTTATCACTTATAGGTCTAAAACCTACAGTGAGGGGCGCCTGGGTGGCTCAGTGGGTTAAAGCCTCTGCCTTCGGCTCAGGTCATGATCCCAGGGTCCTGGGATTGAGCCCCGCATCAGGCTCTCTGGCTCCGCAGGGAGCCTGCTTCCCCCTCTCTCTCCACCTGCCTCTCTGCCTATGTCTGTGAAATAAATTAAAAAAAAAAAATCTTTTAAAAAAATAAAACCTACAGTGAATAGCGTTCCAGGGGCCTATAAAAGAACTGCACTGGGGCGCCTGGGTGGCTCAGTGGGTTAAGCCTCTACCTTCGGCTCTGCTCATGATCTCAGGTTCCTGGGATCGAGCCCTGCATCCGGCTCTCTGCTCAGCGGGGAGACTGCTTCTCCCCTCCCCGCCCCTGCCTGCCTCTCTGCCTACCTGTGATCTGTCAAATAAATAAATAAAATCTTAAAAAAAAAAAAAAAAAAAAAAAAAACCAAAACTGCACTGCCCCAGTCTGGCAGATGCCAATTTCCACACCCTCTGCACCAAGAGCTCACCATAGCCCTCATCCACTGATAGATACTACCAGGAGGTCAGGCCAAATTCCCTGCTCTCTAGCAAAGCATCTATTTCCTGCCTCCAGAATTCTGCCCAGGCTGTGCTCTCTACCTCCTTTCCCATCTTCCAGCTGGGAGCTACAGGGAAAGAGAACTGAATGTGCAGGGAACGGTGGGGAACATGGAGGAAGCAGTTCAGGGAAGACGCCTGGGAAGGTGTTGCCCAGAGAACAGGACAAAAGGCCAGATTCTGAGCGCCTAGAAGCAAATACCGAAAGACGCGAGCAGAGTTGAGCTCTGTAGTCCCGAGAACTGGCAGCCTCGAGTCTCGCGGGTGGGGACACAAACAGCTAACCCGAACCCGGTAAGTCTCTCCGAGACTCAGTTTCCCTCTCCAAACAGGGTCTGCCCTGGATCCTGCTGAGGTCTGACCCCCTAATCCCTATGGCTGCTCACACGCTCGGGCAGCACCCCGTCGTACCCAACTCTAGCACTCCGGCGTCGCCGCGGGGTGCGCGTATCCGCAGTATCCAGCACGCGCCGCAAGAGCGTGCGCGTCGTAGGCTCGCTGTCGCGGTTGTAGCTCTCCGCCATCGCCTCAGCCATCCGCCTCCCAACCGCTGAGGTAGCCGAGGCCGCCGCCTTCCCGCCGCTGCATTTAAGCCAACTCTCGCGAGGCTGCCGCACGGCCTCACGGGAGTTGCAGTTCTAACCCTATGGCTCAGAGGCGCGAGGAACGTGTTGCGATGGTTGTAACCTGGTTTTGGAGGCACTTTTACTTGGGAGTGCACCTGGACAAACGTGTCAACCCGTCGAAGCCTTGGTTTCTTCATCTGTAAGTTAAGTATGATACAAACCTTATAAGGGGATTGTAGTACTTAAGTGAGATATATATTTTTAAGTGCTTACTTACTTAAGTAATCTCTACACCCAAGGTGGGACTGGAACTCACCACCCCGAGATCAAGAGTCCTTTGCACTACAGACTGCGCCAGCCAGGAGCCCCTGAGTGATATGATGTTTAACTCAATGTATGATATACAGTAAGCTCCATCCTCAGTAAGTAGCAGTCATTAGTATTAGAATGTCTTATTCCTAGCTCCCTCTGGAGTTGAGGCGGGACACCTAGCCCAGGAAAAAAATAATTTTACCCTCAATGTGACCTGGTCAGATTTGCAAATTTGCATTTGCATCTCTGCCTTGGAAGAGATCAGTCTGTGGGCCAAAGACTAGTATGCTACTTGTCATCCAGCAGAAATGTTATGATCTCCAAACATGTGCAATTTGGAGATGAATTTTGGCTTTCAAAAGTTCTGGTAACGCTAAAAACTCTTACCATATTTTCACCAAGACAGCCTCCCCATCTTTTTTAAATTTTCATGGAAACTTAATTAGAACTTGAGTTCTGAGTCTCCCATGGAGTTATCCTTTTGCTCCTAGATCAGGTGCCTATGTGTTTTACATAACTGATTACATTTTATATTTGCTACTTGTTTAAAAAAAAAAAATACTGGGTGCATGAAGTGAGGGAGGGAGGAATGAGAGACTAGCAAGAACCAGACCATGTGGTGTCTCACAGGCTCTGGAAAGGAGTTTGGACATTATTCAAAATGCAATAAACCATTGGAGGGATTTAAGCAGAGGAATCATATATATGGCGTATCATATATATATACACATATATATGTGTGTGTGTGTATATATATATATATATGGCTTATCATATATATATATGTGTGTGTATATATATGTCTATCCATATGAACAACAGATTTTGTAGGGAAGACAAGATTGGAAACAGGGAGGCATGTGACAAGGTTCTACCCATTCTCCTGAGGTGACAAGATTGAGGGTGGGTAGGGCCTTCAGGATGGGAAGAAAGCTATGCATTTTAGATGTTATAAGTGTAAAGGATTAAGTGTAGATTAGAGGTGATTTTCTTTACTGGAAGGTAGAATTTTTTTAAAAGATTTTATTTACTTGAGAGAAAGAAAGCATGAGCTAGGTGAAGGGTAGAGGGAGTAGCAGACTCCACACTGAGCAGAGACCCTGATAGGGCACTCAATCCAGGGACTCAGGGATCGTGACCTGAGGCAAAGGCAAATGCTTAACAAACTGAGCCACCTAGGTGCCCTGGAGGTAGAATTTTACTAAGCATAATCTTCACTGTGTGTACATGAAGAAATGATATAAATTTGATCTCTCATTAATATTTTTTGAGTAAGGTAGGTTTTGAGACAGGTAGGAACAGAACTCTACTGGTAATAGTAGGACGATGAAAATACAAAATAACAGATAACAATGATCTTTTGCTTAATTTTGTCTCTACTGCACACATTTTATAAACATTTAATCATATAACAAAGTGTGTATTCATGTTTTTATTGTTGTATATTCACCTAAATGAATGCACATCTTTCACCATGGACTGCATTCCTAAGTTTGAAGGGGTTCAAGCTGTGGACCTGAGCTGCATAGGCCAAGAGCAGTGCGATGTTTTCTTCTTACGGGTCTGTGAAGCCCATGCCAATAACCACAGAGCACACTGACTGTAAACAGAAAACGCAATGGTGATGTTTGGATGTAGGGACCAAATAATTCACTTCCCATTGTCCTGTACTTTTCCAAAACATTTTAAGTTTGGGATCCTTTTATAATAAAGCACTTTAAAAAAATAACAGTTAACTTGGGGTGTTGTATTTTTTTCTTTCACCAGCTTTTAAGTTGCCAGTCTTTGGCAGCTCTTCCTGCCCACGGGTCCTGTCCCTATGCTTTAATAAACCACCATTTTGCACCAAAGATGTATCAAAAATTCTTTCTTGGTCATCGACTCCGGATCTCACCCCACCGAACCTCACCTATATTCTAGAACTTCATCAATTCCAGGGTCCTGGTATCGAGCCCCGAGCCAGGCTCTCTGCTCAGCGGGAAGCCTGCTTCTCCCTCTTCCTCTGCCTGCCTCTCTGCCTACTTGTGATCTCTGTCAAATAAATAAAATCTTAAAAAAAAAATAAAATAAATTGCTGGTCTTTTTTATTTTTAGTCGAAAAAGAAATAGTATACACTAGGCTTCAATTTCATTCCCATGGTCTGTAATCAGGAGGAAAAAAAATGAGAAGGGAGAGTCTGGAGAAAGGGTGTAGAAAGGCAAGAAGTAGGAGAAAGGGGGAACTCAGCAAAGGAGGACTAGCTTGCAGGTAAATCCCTAGAACAACTGCCTGGCCTTTCCGCTTCATTTTCCACGGCCTCTCCTGCCCTTTAGAACATTTTCTCCATACAAGTGGTGGGGCTGGAGGTATCTTATTACAATACAAATTCTGTCCATCCTCTGGTTCTTCAACAGCTCCCAGTCATCTGCAGAATTAAATCCCAAATTTTTTAACTTAGCCCAGTTTGGTATCTTTCAGCGCTTCAGCTACCCCGCCAGTCCTCTTCCAGGCTTTTTTGGGGGGCCTAGCCTCGTTATTTCCTCAGGGCCAGCTACTCCCCGCTCACTCAAGCTTTTCACCATTTTTTCTTCCTTGGCTTCCGCTTCCCATTTTCTTCTCTGTCCTATTCATTAGTTTGTAGCACTTATTTCTGTGATTAGACATCCATTCGGGTGCATCTATTATCCACAAGTCCGACCCTCATCCTTCCATGTAGTCAGGCCCGGTCGGTTGAGCTTCTTCCTTCAGCAAGGTTCCCAACTCAGTGCACTGTACCCTCCACACAGTAGGCACCTTCTGGTGACTGTGTTTAGGCGAGTATATGAGTCAACTCAAGCAGCAGCTGAATTAGACGAGTCCTCAACGCAGAGAAAGGGGCTCCTGAGGTCTTTCTGGGTACTGAAGCTCAGGTCCCCCACCCAATCTCCGCGGGAATGCCATCAAGTCGCAGCCCCGAGGATTGGGGAAGCGCTTCCGGCGGTCACACAACCTCACCCAAATCCTAGTCCCCCGTAACCCAACCTCTCCCTTAGGCGGCGCTCCAGGCCGCAGTTGCCGAGCTCAGCGCACGGCATTGCGGGAGTTGTAGTTTCCGTAAGCAAAGGCCCAAGGCGCTTGCGCACTACAGAGGCGCGCACCGCGCGACCTCCCTCCCCCCAATCAGGATTCTGGGTCCTTGTGAAGGGCGGTCCAGGCGACAGCGTTCCAACTGAATACGCCTCTATAGTTGGCCGGGGATAAGCCGGGTGGTAAGAATCTGTTCTGCGTGGGCCGTCACGGTGCCCTGGAAAGCGGCCGGAATAATCACGCCCCCGCTCCGGAAGTGAGCAGCTTCTGGCGCGGTGCATTGTGGGGGGCGTAGTCCTCCTTCCCAGGCGGTCCTTCGCGGCGTCCCCGGGGCGGACTCCGGAGCGCAGGCGGGCGGCCGGGCGGGCGGCGCAGCGCGGGCCGGCGGAAAGCGTATTCTGGGCACGGGACGCCGGGCCAGGCCGGCCGCGCCGGGCGGCAGTAGTGGGAGGCCGCCTAAGGCCCCGCACGGCGCCGCCCGTCGAGTGGCGGGCGGCGGCAGACCGACCCGGCCGTCGAAGGGCTCAGGAGGCCGGTGGGCCGGGCCGAGCCGGGCCGCGCGGCGCAGCCATGCCAGGCTTTACGTGCTGCGTGCCCGGCTGCTACAACAACTCGCACCGGGACAAGGCGCTGCACTTCTACACGTTTCCCAAGGACGCTGAACTGCGGCGCCTGTGGCTCAAGAACGTGTCCCGCGCTGGCGTCAGTGGGTGCTTCTCCACCTTCCAGCCCACCACGGGCCACCGACTCTGCAGCGTCCACTTCCAGGGCGGCCGCAAGACCTACACTGTGCGCGTCCCCACCATCTTCCCGCTGCGCGGCGTCAACGAGCGCAAAGTAGCGCGCAGACCCGCTGGGGCTGCAGCCGCCCGCCGCAGGCAGCAACAGCAGCAACAACAACAGCAGCAGCAGCAGCAGCAACAGCAGCAGCAACAACAGCAGCAGCAGCAGCAGCAGCAGCAGCAGGCGTCGCCCTCAGCCTCCACTGCCCAGGCCTCCCAGCTGCAGCCGAACCTGGTGTCTGCCTCTGCTGCTGTGCTTCTCACCCTTCAGGCCGCTGTAGACAGCAGCCAGGCTCCGGGGTCTGTTCCCCCAGCGCCCACCACTCCCACCGGCGAAGACGTAAAACCTATCGACCTGACCGTGCAAGTGGAGTTCGCCGCTGCAGAGGGCGCAGCTGCCGCAGCCGCCGCGTCGGAGCTAGAGGCAGCTACGGCAGGGCTGGAGGCCGCAGAGTGCCCTATGGGCCCCCAGCTGGTGGTGGTGGGGGAAGAGGGCTTCCCTGATACTGGCTCCGACCACTCTTACTCCTTGTCGTCAGGCACCACGGAGGAGGAGCTCCTGCGCAAGCTTAATGAGCAGCGGGACATCCTGGCGCTGATGGAGGTGAAGATGAAGGAGATGAAAGGCAGCATCCGCCACCTGCGTCTCACCGAGGCCAAGCTACGAGAAGAACTCCGTGAGAAGGATCGGCTGCTTGCCATGGCTGTCATCCGAAAGAAGCACGGAATGTGAATGGGTCCGTCCCCCTTCGGCTTGCTGGACTCCTGGACCCCTCTCAGCCTACAGGGACCTTAGGCCGCTGCTGTTGAACTCCCCTATACTCCTGGGGCACTGGTTGACAGTACTGAAGCTTAGGGCAGCTGGACTCTCTTGCTGATGACCTGGCACCCTCTCTTGTTTTCTCCTGAAGCAAGGTCCTGAAGTCTGGGACCTCAGACTCTGCACAGGTGACACCAGCAATTATGACTTTGTCCCCCACTCCCCACCTCACCTCCAGTTTATGTTGCAGGTTCTGCTTAAGCAGAGGCTTCAGAACCACTGACCTTGAAAATTACCCACTCGGGATGCAGGTCGGATGCCCAAGACTATGGGTTTGGGAAGACAACTGCTTGAGGTTGGCCAGCATTGAGACGACTCTTCCGTGTGTAGTGATAAGAGATCCAAGTAACATCAGTTCTCCTTTTAGTGCTTTTCCTTCCCAGGTGCAGCCTGTGATTCTGGCGGGGACTGGCAGATCTGTGCCTCTGCCTATAAGGACCTCCCTCCCTCCCCAGGAGGCCATCTACAAGGGGATCTAGGTGACCTGCTGATGATCCAGCTTGCCAGGGACTTAGGTTTATCCTGTTATGTTTGCTACTGGTTACAAATTCTATTTTCTGTACAATTAGTCAGACTAAAGTTTTCACTGTGTTTGTTTGGCAAAACGAATTAAACAGAAAGTAAGGTTTTAATTTGAGTTTCGCCATTTTATTTTTATAAAGGCTCATTTCAGTATCCTTGAAAGGTGGGGAAATAGACCTCTAAACAAGCCTCTACCTTAGGTCTCAAGGACCAGACTGATCCTAAGACTAGAAATGCTTCAGTGACCATGTTTGTCCATAAAGGGACCCTGAGCACATGGACCCTGGCTCATAACTCACAGAGTTCCTGGCCCAGCTTACTCGGAAACTGCACCGAACAGTCCCAGTTTGCTGTGAGTTAGGAGAAGGAGCAACTGAGAACTAAACCAAATTGTGACTGCTCACTTCTCTGAGGGTTTTGAATTCCTCATGAATTTTCAGCTGCGGTTGAATTTCACTCACCATTTTAGTCCTGGTACAGTGGCACACATGGGCTGGCAGTTACTTAGGATCACAGCTGAAAGTAGCCATGCTTCCTGCACACATAAGAACTCTTGTATAGATACCTTGGCCTTGGTACGTTTTCGTTGTGGAGAAGTTGGGATTTGTGATCCATTGATTCATTTCTTGCCTGTTTCTATGCTTTTAGATAAGGTAGGGGTGAGGTGACATTTTTATCTCTAATAAATTTAGATTTATTAGACTAATAATTTAGCTCAAAGTCAATGGGGGAAAGGCAAGCCTGTAAGTCTAGCCCTATTTACTATGGGTGTTCAGGCACAAATGGACACTTCCTGGGCTCCATAAAACATGACTCCCTTCTCTCTTACTTTAGAAAAAGCCACTTCCCAGGGGGCTTTCCCTGTATCTGTGAACGGAAATAACAAATGTTTCTCTAGTCTCTGCTCTTCTCTTGGCCCCTTGGCACTGACTTGAGAAGTCTCTGGTGGGGAAATGGGGTGGAGTATAGGTTGTACAGGTGCCTGATTGGGGAAGGAATTGGATCTCTGCCTTCCTAGCATTAGTTCTGGCTTATCATAGTAATGTGGTGGAAGCACAGCATTGCCCTTCCAGGCCAGCTAGGACTGAAGCCCTTTGTGAGCAGCCATTGAACCACTCTCCCACGTCCCCACTCTCCACTAGGAGTGAGGGCTTTCTCAGGCTCAGCCTATGCCGTTAAGCGTATCCTAGCTCCTGTTTGTTGAAGGCACACTGTTTCTGCGTTGTCTCACTTGGACCTCTCAGCAGCACTCCTAGGACAGGTGAAGGCCAGGCTCTGGCCAAGACTCTTGGTGTCTGGAGGTTATTTGCATAGTCTATCCAGAGTTTTCCCTTCTAGGGTGTGGGGGAATGACAGAACAAGGGAGGTCCCAGATGCACCACCAAGAGTTCTCACTGGCTAACTAATAAGCATCGAATCAGGCAAAGTAGTGCAGACCTGGTCTTACCAGCCGTCCCCAGCAAGTGAACGTTGTATGTGTGTGTATATTGGTGAAGGTGCAAAACTTACGGAAGAACAGGAATACTGAGATTTCTGGCCAGAAGGGAAAGCATGGAGCTGCCAGGATATTTCCCTTACCTGTGGTCCACCTGGGTTAGCTACAGAGCATTTCCCCAACAGGCCTGACTTAAACACAGGCCTTACTTCGAATGTTTGTAATGCCCAGGAAACGATGGAAATGGGATTATTGACAATCTGGTCGCTTAAATCACGGGGAAAGTTTGGGTGAGCCAGTTCGCTTTTCTTGTTAATAAAAATGAAACTCTTAGCTGCCTTGCCTGCTGTAAAAACAAACAACAAACAAACAAAAAAACCCCAACTTGGAATGTTTTGGAGACCCCAACTGGTACAAGTGTAAGAGTAATCATGTCTCCAGCTGAGTCCGACTTGAGCACTTGAGTCTCCAGCCCAAAGGAAAGCCTCGACTGCTCGAAATCAGGTTTGGGCCTGGTAGGGCGCATGAATGCTGGGACAGCGACACTACGGGTTCCGCCCTGGCTGACTTTAGAGCACCGCTCGGAAGAGTCGAAGGGCCAGAGGTGGGAGGGGTGGCTAGAGGACCAAATGGGAGGAGAGTTCCGGAGCGGAAACAGCCCAGGGGCCCCGGGAGGGGCGGCTGGGCCTGCTTGGGGCCAGGCGGGACTCCCACGGAGGCGGGGCCTGCTTCAAACCACAGCGCAACCTGGGCGGGGCCGGACCAGCTGGGACCTGGAGACAACCAAGCCCTGACCCTTGCCTGGCGCCAACCTCGGGTGTTCCAGAGGCTTCCGCTAGACCACAATTCTCAGGGGCTCGCCCTGGCAGCCTCCCTCCCCGGCTTAGCCTCACCTCCCGCTCTGCGGGCCGTGGCTGGTCCTCGGCGCATAGCACACCGGGAACTGTAGTTTTCTCCTGGCACACTAATGCCAGAAAGGAGCTCTGGGAGACTGCGTTTCCCAGAGTGCAGCGGGGTGGCGAGGGAAGGCAGGGGGGAAGGGACAGTTGGTCGCAGACCGCGCTGGGTTGCCGCTGCCGCCGCTGCCGCCATCGTGCCAGCCCCTCGGGTGAGTGTCGGGGCTAGCGCGCCGGGGCGGGGGCTGGGCCGCTGGAGCCGCGCTCTGGGCCGCTCGGAACCTCCGCTGCCAGTCTCCGGGCGCTCCCCCCCCCCACCGGCGGCCCGAAGCCGCGCGGGGACGGGGCCATGTGTCGCGCGCGGCTCCGCCTCCCGCCGGTCCTCTGAGGCGGCGGCCGGGGGGAACAGAGAGAGACAGCCAGGCGCCTATCCGGCCGTATCGTGTCCATGGCGGGTGCAGCGGACTGCGCGGCGGCCGGGCCTTTTTTTCTCTGGTCCAGACCAACCCAGATGGGGCTCTCCGGGCCCCGCCCCGTCTGGCCTAGCCCGGCCTGCCCGAGTCCCACAAGCTCTGCAGGCAGGCTAGCGGGACGACCCCAGCCCCACGTCCTGCCACCCGCCAGCGAAGGATCCGGGGATGGGCAAGCGCCACCCGGCCCGCTCCGGAGTCAGCATTGGGTAAGGGCGCTTTCCTGCCGCAGCCCGGGATTAGGACTCTCACCCGGTTCCCGAGCATAGACGGGCTAGGATGTAGGTGAACTCTCCCCTGCTTGTCTGCCCGTTGGGAGTGCACAAAACCTAACTCCCACTCTGGAATTGATGCGTGGGTTCCTGCGTGGAGGGCAGGTCAGGGAATCTGGGGCGGGAGGGGGCTTCCACATGGGACTTCACCCCCCGGCAGCCTTGGAGGATCTGGCCTGATGCGATGAGCTGCTCCGGCCTGGTAGGCTCAGACCCCGCCCTTCTACTGGGGACCAGGCCCCAACTGTGGGTAGGTTGGCCGGCCCATTTAGTGGAGGAGGGGAGAAAAGAAGCCACGGAGGTGAGGTTGGATGTGTGAGCCCCCGACATGTTATTAGACCCCAGGGGTAGCTTAATCCTCACATCTGTCCTTCCCAGAGTCATCTGCCCTCCTCCCACAGAGGAGAATGATTCCAGGAGAATGGTGGTGACAGGGTGGGTTTTAGTGGAGGGAAAAGTAGAGGAGAAAGTAGAATCCAGTCCTGAAGACCATGAGCCCAGTGCCAAACGAGAGACTGGATTGGAAGCTACATCAATGGTGTGCACATTTGGGCTGTGGGGCTCAGATTCAGACTCTGTGGGGCCCTCCTGAAGCTTGGGTGGGAGAACTAGAGCTGAGAGCTGTAGAAAGTCAGACTCCCCTCACTTGCTCACTTCCTGCTAGCTGGAGTAACCTGTGTACAGGCAGGAGGCTGCTTGAGCCTTGGGAAGTTGCCTTCAGTGATTATTCCAGCTACCCCTGTGAGTCCTGAGAGAAGTATCTAGCCTTAAAATAGTCTTCTGATGGGCTTTATAAAGGCATTTCTGATTGACCGATGATGTATTAAGGGACCAGTCCAGAGAGAACCTTGGGATTTGGGGAAGAAACAGCTTGTGGAGCCTTGATTTCTCTGACCCAGTATAGCTTCTGAGCCATAATTCTTGCAAAGATTAACACAGCAGCTAGAACTCTGCAGGCCTGGCCTCAGCACCAAGCAGGTCTCCTAGGAAAGTTGGGTTAGGCCCATGAGGCAGAAAGCCGCCACCCCTGGACTTTTTTTTCCTTGAGTATTTCCCCAGGTGATGTTTTTCTGGTCTTCGGGCTCTAGCCTTTGGAAATTTTCTTTTTCCTGCTTTGGTCATTCTCTCTGGTTAAGGAGGACAGGCAAAGATCTGTCCAGACCTCCTAACCAGCACTTCCCTTCTCTCTAACCTCAAAACCTCCTGTCCACCTCCTGGCCAGTAAGCACATGGAAGTCAGGTTCATTCAGCAGGCTTGGAAGGGTCTGGTTTGCTAGTGCAAATGGGCAACAAGGAAGGACTGCCCGCAGAACATACACAGGATCCCTGTGATAGAATCTCTTAGTACTAGAAGCAGTTGTTTAAGGATCCTCTCTAGATTGTCAGGATTGGTTCTGTCTAGGACACAGGTTTCAGGTGAGCTAGACTTATTTCTGTGGATTAGTTTGCATATTCTACGGCCTTAGGTGACTTGATGACAATGGTTTCCTTCAAGGTCAAAAAGATACTTTTCCTTCTTGATACTGTTCCTTCACCGCTGGCAGCAGCATCGAGAGTAGGAGGAATTCTGGTCTCTTCCTCTCATTCCAACCCTAGAAGTTTTCTATAACTTCTGTGTCTGGGCTTAGCTAGCCATTGGTTGGCATCCTGACCCCCAGAAGTCCTTGACCTTTCTGGAACTTGGCAGGCCATCTGTATCTCAGAGATAAGAGGAGAGTCCTGAGGTTCTTCAGAATCCATCTGCATCTTCTATTCGGGTAGGCTGACTTAGAAGTGGGGCCTGGCATGGGGGAGTCAAAATGTGGCTGTATAAGCATGGCAGGGTGTGAGGGTGCCTGCGTTCTCTGCTCAAAACTAGGACCTTTAGTGACATGGAGTGTACTTCTCCTCTTCAAGCCACATCTCACTTTATTCTGCTGTCTTTGCAGTTGGTGGGTTGGGGTGGCATGAGTGGTTTAAGAATGACCAGAATTCTCAAATTATAGAATTGCAAAGCACTTGTATAAAAGAAATTCTGGGCTTCCCTTACTGGGGCATTAGTATCTTAATAGGAATTTTTTTTTTCTTTTCCTTTCTCACCGATGATTAGTATTATTCAGCAACCATTCTTTGGGCCTTTTGTGTGTTAGGCTCTGGGCTGAGGCTGAAGGTAGAAAAATGAATCCTACCCAGTCCTGGTGCTGGGGAAAGGAGTAATGTTGTTACGTGCTTAGGGCTGAGTTGAAGGGACCTACAGGGGCTCTTGGTCCTGTGCAGAAGAGGGGGCTTTGCATTGATTAGAGCACTGAAGAAGAAAGGTTGTTAGCGATCCTTTAAAAATCTTTAAAAAAAGAAAAAAGTTGAGCAGGATTTCTAATGGACTTGGGTTGAGTTGAACCTCCTCATGGAGATTTTTGGCTTTTCAGGGTTTTTTTAATTTAATTTTTTCTTTTTTTTTAAGATTTTATTTTGTTTTGTTTTAAAGATTTTATTTATTTATTTATTTGACAGAGAAAGAGAGAAGAAGCATGGGGAGCCTCAGAGGGAAAGATAAAAGCAGGCTCCCTGCTGAGTAGGGAGCCCCATTCAGGACTTGATTCCAGAACCCTGAGGTCATGACATGAGCCAAAGGCAGATGCTTAACCAAATGAGCCACTCACATGTCCCTAAAGGAATTTTTATATGTTAAAGTAGACTTACAGGATCCTGGGGGTCGGGCTAAGATTGCTTTTTGTGCTCAGCAGAGTATTAATATTAAGTCCTTATATGTTGCTGGTATCTACTATGTGCCAGCTCCCTAAGCCCTGAGACTAGAGAGGGGACTATCCCAGAGGAGGAGAACCTCCCCCTCATGAGGCAGGTGTATTTGATGTGCCTGGGAACTTCAGTAGACTGGGAAAATTATGGAATGATTTTTTTCTTTAAGCCTTGCATACTTCATCAGAGCCCCTGGGTCTTACCAGGGCAGAGACTGCTGCCCCCTGGGAGTGATGTCTGTGTGTAGAGACATTGGTTCCATTGGCAGAGGTGGTTTCAGTCCTAGGTGAATGCAAGTTCTCACTTGGTGTAGTCCTATTTTGATCTGCTGAGCATGCACTCAGGCTTTCTCTCCTGAGAGGTATAGAACTTGCTGATTTCAGAGGGCAAGAAAAAGGCCAAGGCTCCATTCCTCACCGTCTCCTTTGTTACCTCTGTACTTTCTGCTACTTGACATTGGCTCTCAGCTGTTCTAATCCAGGCCATTTTAGTGGACGTTTTAATGCTGGCTATGCTAGTGACCTTGCATCGTCTTGAATTCTTAACCTCTTGGAATTTTGGTTTCCTTGTCTAGAAAATGATGAGACTCATACTAGCTTTACAGCTGTGAGGCTCAAATGAGAGCACACTTGTGACTGTTTGGCTTACAGAGAAGGCGTTCCATTTAGCACCCTCGGGACTCCATGTGCATCCCTTTATTCCTCTGCTCACCTCAGTCTGGGAGTGTCAGGACAGTGTTCGCCAGGCATGGTCGTAGCAGACCACGAGGATGGTCACATAGGAGCTTCAGGCCCAACTGGAGAGCCAAGTCCATATATACCTGATCTGCAATTTCATACCCTGGGGTTTAGTTCATGGATGGGAGCTGTCTAGGATGGGGGCCCAGAGATCTCTGAGTGACGTGGGGAAAGGGAGGCTACTCAGGGACTAAGTACAGAGCAGAAAGACCAGAATGCAGGTCTCAGGTTTCACCAGGGCAGCCCTAAAGCTCTGGATTCCTCCTCTAGGCAGAAGAGAAGGAAAAGCCTCTCAGGGTGCTGGGGGCACCTAGGCCTTGGTTCTGCCCCAGGGAAGTGTTCTGTCACGGCCAGCCATTCAGGCACCAGACCTTGGCTGATTGCTCTCCAGACTTCAGGCGGGAGAGTGATGGACTAGGCAGTTACCAGTCTTCTGTCGGGGCCGCTCTATGATGTGGTATCCTTGCAGGAAGCTGAGGTAACCACCTTTTTTCTAGTTCTTGACCTGGGGCTTCACTTAGGACTTGACTGACTCCTTGTAGCTGGGTCTTGCTCTGTACTCTCAGTTGATTACTCCCAGTATCCCCACAATTACTGGTGGGGAGATAGGGTCAGTGGGTCATACAGTGAGGGAGAGGAGGAGTAGGCTAGACTCCTGACCTTGAGGCTGTGGTTGTGTGCCTGCTGTTGAGCCACAGCTGTGTCTCAGGTGACCAGAGCTTTGCAAATGGGGGGTGGGTGGGCCAAGCCCCACTTGCCACACCCTCAGACAGACAGATGATTGGTGACAAAGGGTTGTTTCCTGATGACTTGGACAGAAGGTCTAGTTGGAGGGGAAGTGGGTCACTTGGCCACTTAAATTCAGCAGGGTTTGTCCAGAAATCACTCCTCCAGAGAAGCAGGGCTGGGCCAGGTACCATGGGAACAGGGCTGCCTAGGTCAGGGAGAGAGATCATAAATGGATACATTAAGTGTGACTATTTCATGCAATGATAAGTGGTAAGAAAACAAAACAAGATGGTGAAATGAGTAGCTGGGCAATTACTCTAGACTGAGTCTGAGTGGTCAGAGAAGGTGTCTGTGAGGAAGTGACATTTGAGCTGACACTATGTGACAAGGAGCCAGATTCTTGAAGATCCAGGGAGAATAGTAATCCAGGTAGAAGGATAGATAGTTGCAAAGCTCTTGGGTGAGAACAGGCTCAGCATGTTCCAGAAACAGGGAAATACCTGACTGTAGAGGAGGGGAGAGAGCAGGTGGCAGGAGATGAGGTTGGACAGCCAGGAGGGCAGGTCACCCTGGGAGCCTTGAAGGCAGGCTAAGTGGTTTAGACTTGTGAGGGAGAATAGAAAGGGAAGTCACTGTGAACATTTGAGGGCCATAGGACGCATGAGGATAACTAACAGCCATGGTTGATGCCGATTTCAGGGATCCCACTAGAAGTTCAGCATGTCTGCTGGCATTCCCTGCGGGCCTTGGTGATGGGTACTCGAAAAAAGACAAGCATGGGTCTTCCTGTGTATCTGTTTGGAGTTTGTGGCATCTTCTACCCTATCATTTCCTGCCCCCATCCCTGCCCCAGGCCTAGCTAGGCTAGGATCTATCTCTGATTTGCTGAGATGGTAGAACTGAGCTGTGACTTTGCGGGTTTGGGAAAACTGTGAGATCATCCCCCATGAAACGCCCATTGTTGAGTTTGGTGTGGAAATCTGCCCCGTGCCTTTGTTTGGAGGCAGAAGCCCTGGTTCAGTCCTATCTTGCCCCTCTCTGAGAAAGTCAAGGTTAGAGGTCAGGGCTTCAGCCTTATTTGCCCAGGAGCACTTCTCTCACCTGCGTGTTTGATCGTGTTTGCTCGTTTTTTATCTCTGCCCTATTGTCTCTGGGGGGGCTTGGCCCGGGAGTCAGCCAGACCTGGTTCCATCTAGTTCCACCATCCATTAGGCTCATGGCCTTGAGTGAGTTAGCTAACCTTTTCTAAGCTTCATTTTGCTTAAGTGTAATGTGGGAGTTGAGTCACAGGGTATTAGGAGCAAATGCTCATAAAGCTCTTAGCACATTTCTGTGTCTGGTACACATTAGGGAAAATCACATGTTATCAGCTGGACACTGCTATTTAAGTTTTGTCACTGGGAAACACCCAAAATTTGAGGATAAAAATTAAAATTTTCTGTTGTCTAATGGGCTCTTCTGGGCAAGAGGTTTTAACCTGGGGTCTATGGCTGAATCTCAGGGAGTGTGAACAACTTGAAATTATTCACAAGGCTGGGTCATCTCTACCATTGTGCAAATTTATTGGGAGAGGGCCACAGTTTTTGAGACATTCTTAGAGGGTCTTTGCACCCACAGAGACCTAAAGGTCAGTGAAGGCTGATGCTCAGTGGGCGAGAGGTCATCAAGGTCATTTCTGCTCCTCGAGGAGCCTGGCCTCAGTCAGCCTGCGGACTGTTGGGGTGAAGCAGGAGATGGCGTGGTCAGCGGCCCTCTTGGAAGAACTGTAGGAGAAGCCGTCATGAAGGTCAGTCCCCAATCTGATGTGAGGCTGCTCTAAGCCTTGGCATTTTTCTTTTCAGACTGTTCTTTCTGCAGTATATGTATTAGAAGCAAGGTCAGGGCTTGCTGGCCATCCTGGGGAGCATCCTCCCAGCCTGACCCAGACCCCTTCCTGTGTTGCATGGGGATGGATAGGGGGCGCATTGCTCCCTACTTCTTTTTCTGGATGCAGGAATACTGCCTCCTAGCCATGAGTTGAAAGCTTGTGGGAAATTTGGAGTCAGAAACGAAATCCTATCGTTTGCTGATCCACTTTCTGTGCTGGTGTGGCAACAACCACACTGGAACCCTCTTAGCCCAGAGCTACAGTGTTTCGGCAGAGGAATGGGCCCTGGCTGTGTTGATAACAGTGTTGCACATGGGGTTGGGGGTCAACATTTAGTCTGGGAGGGAGGACCCAAACAGATGGAGTCTGAACAGTGAACTGAAGGAAGAGCAGGAACTAATCAGGCAGATGTGGGGTGGGAGGACATCCCAGCGGGGGATGCATGGGGTGGGGGTGGGGCAAAAACCAGTAAGCACGCGCACAGAGAGGTCTGGTCATTTGTGTGTGGAGCTGGATGAAGGTAGGAGAGAATGGTAGGGACACAGGGATGGGTGTGGAAGGCCACCTGTGGAGGAGCTTCAGGGTTTAATCCAGAAGTGAGGCTGTTGTAGAAAAGGGATATGGCCAGCTTTGTTGTTTAGAGCTTGGGGACAAAGTTAGCAGGAAGAAAGCCCTGGCTTCAACCAGGGAACCCAGTGTCAGTTGGGCTTGGGGCAAGACAGATTGCTGAACCTCAGTTTTCCTATCTGTAAAGTGGGATCTGACCACGTGGCTGTCATGATTACTACATGGAAATAAACACAACAGGGTCAAACAGGCCAACAGGTTGGTATTGACTTCAGGGACCCTACTTGGAAAAGTCCTCAAACCATATGGTTTTGAAGGTTCCTTTTCACACTTTCTGGGAGCCTGAGCGGTCTCATTCCTTAGAAGAGCTCACTTTGCCCTGTTCTGCCCCATCAGACCAGAGTGCCCTCCTGTCCCTTTAGTCCTCCACCCTCTTCACTCCACCACTACTTCTGCCAGGTAGTTTTCGTATTGACAAGTTATCACACCTTAAGAACAATATTGAAAAAGAAAGAAACACCCCCGCATTTCCTCTACATCACTCTCCTACCACATGGCACCACTTTTCTTGTCTTTGGATCTGCTTTTATTTAGCCTTTTTTCCTGCCACACTTCATCTCCAGCTTCCTGGTTTCCTGCCCTTACCTCTTTTCATATGCCCAGACACTTGCTTATGCTTTTTCTTTCAATCAGCCATGTACTCTTTCTCCAAGACCTCTCTTGAGGGCTACCCCATCTTGGTGAGTGAGCAATGGCCCTCATCCATTCCTCCAGCTTTCCTTTTGCCCCAGAGCTCTTCAGGACTGAGTCAGACATCTTGGGGTAAGATACTGTAGTGCTGGGCCACAGTGAGTGAGCCAAACATAGTGAATACTAGGGTAGAAGGGCTAGAGGTTTGAGATACGGCAGAGAGATTGGGGGGTGGGTATAGCCACAGTCTGACCCCTTGGAAATGTGACCAAGACAGCAGCTGAGACTAGCTGTTGATCCTATGCTTTTCCCACTTGTTAATTTGTTTCTTGGCAGAGGATAAACTGGGACACACCTTGTGTTCCTGTGTAGCAGGCGTGGCCAGGTCCAGGCTTTCTCTTCTACTTGTTTTAGACTTTCCTGGACATTTCTTAGTCATCCCAGCACTGAGCTCCTATTTTTAGTGCCACCACCTCCTATGGGACCTAAAATAAAGTTGGCTCATCTTCCTGGCCCCTCATTGGCTGGAGTTTTGGTCATAGGCTAGGAAATTGGCTAGATTGGGAATAAGCCACTGCCCCCGTACACTATCCATCCCAGCTGGCTCCTCTGGCGTTGGGTGAGGTCATAGGGACTGGAACGAACTAGCAGGTTCCCTTAGTGAGGCTTTGCAACCACTGGCAACATCAGGGCTCCATCCCCTTGGAGTGGAGGAAGGTGAGGCCCTTCTTACGGCAGTTACTTCGATCAGATTCCACCACAGTTAATCGTCATCTGGCAGGGTCGAACCCAGCTCCTCACCTCTTTGGTTTAGAGTCCTGTTACCAGGAGATGGGGAGATAGTCCCAACTCTAGAACAATGGACAAGTCTGGTATCATGGGATTCTTCAGTGAGATGTGGCCTTCCTATGCCAGGCTAACAAAGCCAGAGTGCCTCTCATCTGGGGCTTGAGTTTGCCATCTAGCACCCTCAGAGCTGTGATGTTTGTAGCTATGAGGAGGTCTCCCTTCCTCCTTTAGAGACCAGAGAGGAGCAGCCCCTTCCAGCAGAGACAGTGCTGGGATGAGGAGTATGAAGAGATGACATGTTTCCTCCTACAGCCTCCATTTCCGCTCCCAACACCCCTCTGATCTTTTGAACTCAGAGCCACAGCTCTGAAGTGGGTAGGGATAACTCTCTGTCCATGAAGATAGGAAGAGATTTACCCATGCTCAAAGAAGCAAACTGCTCCCAAGACGAAAATGGAGGGTCACTTGCTGTTTTGTTGCAAGTGGGGCGTTGAGGAGCCATCTCCGCCTCTTTCACTGGGTCTTCCTCCACCTGCCAGTACAGCCCTGGGGTGGTGCTGATGGGACTGAGGACTGCAAACAGAAGACACTCCACACAGAGACATCTAGTTTCTGACCTGCAAAGTGGGAAGAATGACAGTAACTCTGGCCTTGAAGGTTGTTGAGAAGATCAAATGAAAAGATGTGGGAGAGCGATGTGGTTAGCTTCCCCTTAAAAGCCAGGCGCCTCCCGGTCCCACTCCCCCCACCCCTGCCATTAGGCATTGAAGGGCTTGCTCTGACTTTTCTTTGTCTTGGCTCCACCCTCAGCTCCCATCCTATATGCTTCATATCCGCATCACCTCTTTGTTTCATCATCCAGAGCTCCTCAGAGGAGGGGCTGAGTGTGGTCCACCTCTGGGCTCCCTGCGCTGGTCTGTGTTGGGAGGGGTCTCCTACCAGTTCGCCAGGGCTTCTCTGTTTCTTGGGAATACAGACCTCAGCAAAGGACTTTCTGCTCAAGGAGGGCAGGAGGGGTGGGGGTCAGTGAGGAAATAGCAACTGGCCAGCTCCCGCTCCCTTGGTACCAACACTTCCCGCTCTGTCTCGCTGGTCTTGCAGGTCTCAACGAGGCCGGGTGACGCTCCAGAATGGGAGACAAGCCAATTTGGGAGCAGATTGGATCCAGCTTCATTCAACATTACTACCAGTTATTTGATAACGACAGAACCCAACTAGGCGCAATTTATGTAAGTCTTCAGCTCTAGGGCCTGAATGGGACTCCACGGGATCAATTCAGATATTGGGCTAGCCTATCCAGTTCACACATTCTAGCAGCCCTCACTGGATTCGGCTATACCTTTCTATTTGAGTTTCTGTCCATGGGATAGGGGGCCTGAGGCCTAGCCCAACTACCCGGTCTGCACATTCCTTTCTGTCATCTTCCGTAAGAGTAAGGGTCCAAGTATCCTTGGCAGGGTGTTCAGGGCTTGCCATTCCATGGTCCCGGGAATGCCTCTGGTTCCAGATTGGACAGCAGCAGGCAGATGCGAGGGCTCATGGTGCTCTCTGGAGGCGGCAGCTATGAGCATCATAAGTGCAGAGCTGTCTCCTGGAGGCCCTAAGTCTAGTTTCCTATGCTCATGGTAAACAAATGAGGTTATCCTGGGGAGGCTGGTGTGTCTTTTTTTTTTTTTTTTTAAGATTTTATTTATTTATTTCAGAGAGACGTCACGAGTCGGGGTGGGGAGCAGCAGAGGGAGAGGAAGAAGCAGACTTCTCACTGATCAGGGAGCCTGACTCAGAGCTCGATCCTAGGACCCCAAGATTGTGACCTGAGCTGAAGGCAGACACTTAACTGACTGAGCTACCTAGGGGGCTGAGGGAGGCTCATGTGTCTTTCAAGAAACCCTTCTAGGCAGGCATTGTTTGGTGCTATTTTAATGATGTTCGTATACACCAAGCACTATTTGTATCTGACCTGCCAAGACTCAGTCACAGAAGTGTTATGGATCGGGCCATGCCTAGCAGGTCTGCGCAGAATGGAAGTGATAGGAGTCATCTAGGATGGCCTCAGAGCCTGACTGTGGGTAAAGCACTCCGTATCTCTCTAGAAAGTGAGGGTCACCTGTGAAAAAAAAAAAGGATTTTACCAGTGGAAGGTCAAATTCAGCACATGTATTATTTGGTTGTCATTGTAGATAGAGAATTTTTAAAACTTGAACTGACCTGACCCTGGGATCCTGACATTTCTGCCTCAATGCTTCTCAAAATCAATTAAAGCAGTCCTGACCCAGAGAAGAGAGTCAGCAAAGTCCTAAAGGAGTGCTTTATCTTTGTTCTTTCCTTTTTTTTTTTTTTTTTTTTAAGATTTTATTTATTTGACAGAGAGATAGAGTACAGGGGAAGTAGCAGGCAGAGGGAGAGGGAGAAGCAGGCTTCCTGCTGAGGAGGGAGCCCGATGCTGGGCTTGATCCCAGGACTCTGAGGTTATGACCTGAACTGAAGGCACATACTTAACTGAGTGAACCACCTAGGTGCCCTTATCTGTGTCATTTCATATAATCCTCAGCACGTGTCCCCTTTAAAGATCAGGAAATGGGTGCCTGGGTAACTCATTCAGTTAAGCGTCTTCCTTTGGCTTGGGTCCTGATCTTGGCATCCTGGGATTGAGCCCCGCATTGGTCTCCCTGTTCAATGGGGAGTCTGCTTCTCCCCCTCCCTATACCCCTCCCCGCAGTCCCACTTGTGTGCTCTGTCTCTCTTTCAAATAAATAAAATCTTTAAAAATATATAAATAGGGGGGG